ATCCAGCTGGGGATCCATCTGTATGCCCATGGCGTGTTCCTGGTGAGGATGGGCACCTGGTAGGGTGGGAAACCTATGGGTGGAGGATGCATGAGGCTTCCCACCCTTGATGTGCCTGAACCTTCTCTTCTGAGCTCTTGATCCATTTCCTTCACTTCATCCCTTCAGTCATTCAACAGACACTTATTGAGAGCTCCTGCAGGCCACTCTACTGTGTCCCCCAAGCTCCACCCTCTTCTACTCCTCTCTTCCACCTTGTGTCCTGGACTCTTCCCCCAACCCTGTTTCTTTGCCCCCTCCACATTCCCATTTTTGACCCTGTGTCCCCAGACTCTCGTTTCCCTTCTGTATCCCCACTGCCTTCCATAAGCCCCTTGGTCTCTATTCCACCCTTCCCCCACACATTCTCCTATCTCTGCTGCTCCATCACAGGCCATTGTTCAGGAAGAAGCAACTGGGGTGGGCCAGGCTGGGGCTCCAGAGGCATAGAGCTGAATGGCATTGGGAAGGTACCAGCAACAAATCTCTTCTTTGCCCTGGTTTACAGCCTATCTGGTCTTCCGGGTGACAGTTCTTATATTATTCATTCATTCATTCATCCATCCATTCAGTGGGCACCCATCTAGAACCAACCTCTGTTTCATGCTTGGAACACCCATATGTGTTTATTCCTGCCCTCTTTTTAAATTGTCAGAGCAGCTCCATGACAGAATACATAATAGTCATTGGACCCACTATATAGAGAGGAGAAGCTAAGGCTCAGAGAGGGGGGAGTTGACCTGCCAGGACTCCATGACCTTTGGTGGCAAGACAGGGACTTTGAACCCAGTCCTTCTCCAGCAGACCACAAAATCTGTCATGAAAGGGAACCAGACAAGGAAATAGGGATCACTGAGGGCCCCAACTCCTGATGCCAGGGGTCCACCATGTGCTCTGTGTAGGGAAGGTACTCAGCCACTGCAGGAGGTTCCCTCATCTGCTACCCCAGAGCCTGACTTAGGTACAGACTCATCTTCCAGGGACGGTCCATCTTGAGGCTTTGCAGAAGGTAGAAAGGGACAGGAGGAGAAACGCTGAGAACCCACCATGTGCCAGGCTCTGCACCCGCGGTTTTCATTTCCACCCTCTCCTCATCTTTCCAACTAGGCACTGTAATCCCTTTTGCCCAGTTAGGCTGAGAGTTTAATCAACAGGCCCCAGATCCCACACTCAGTGAGCTGTGGGGCTGAGAGGTGGGGTGCAGGCTCACAACACCAAATGCTGTGTGTGCCCTTTCTGCTCTATTTCACCTTCAGCCAGTTTCCTTCCTAAAAACACTCACGTTAGCTCAGCACTGCTGCACTGCTGACATTCCACTGCTCATTGGTTTCAGCTCCTTGTTCATTTATTTAGCGCCAACCTCAGAGGGGCTGTGCTGGGCTTCCTGGGTGCAGTGTTAGCATCATACCCAGTCCCTGTCTTTCTAACAGACTAATTGAGGAGATTGCTCTACATTCAATCAATATTTATTGAGAGCTTATATGTGCCAGGTACTGTTCTAGAAGGTATTGGGGATTCAGCAGGGAACAGAGCAGTCAAGTTCCTGTCCTCATGGAGTTAGCATTCTGGAGTCTATCAGTTGCTGTGCAATTTAACTTTATGTGTTTATGAGAATATTCTATGGTTTTTGCTGTCTAATATGATAGCTACTATCCACATGTGGCCGTTGTACACTTAAATGTGGCTAGTGTGACTGAAAAACAAAAATTTTAGTTTAATTTTGGTTAGCTTAAATTTAAATAGCTACATAGGGCTAGTGACTTTCATAGTAGATAGTGCAGGACGCTGAAGTTTAACTAGCCAATGATAATTCAATGATCAGGGCTCTGATGGAGGAAAGCACAGCCAGCAAAGCGGAGCAAGAGTTGTGATGTAAGAAAAAGGTCAGAGAGCGCAGAGGAAGCGCCTAATTCCGTTTGAAGGGTTGCAGGGAAGCGTGGGGGATGTCAAGTGAAGGGGAATCTGTAGGATCCCAGGTTTATGGAGGTAGCCGGAGGCCTGGGCAGTGCTCCAACCTGTTACCTGGTCCCTCATCCCAGATCATGACACGCCCGTCGGCGGCCAACAAGAACTTCCCGTATCACGTGCGCACGTCGCAGATCGCCTCGGCTGGGGCCCCCGGGCCCGGAGGGAGCGAATCAGCGGACAAGGCCTTCCCGCAGCACGTCTATGGGAACGTGACGTTCATCAGCGACTCGGTGCCCAACTTCACGGAGCTCTTCTCCATCCCCCCGCCCGCCTCCTCCGTAAGCCCCGCGCCCCCGGCGCCCGAGGAGCTGCTGGCGCCGCCCCTGGAGTACCTGACCCCGCTCCCGGCCCCGCCGCCGCCCCCTGCGCCCAGGCGCCTGAGCCCACCCCTTGCCTTTCGCACGCCCCGCGCCCCCACGCCGCGCCGCGACCGTCCCCCGGCGCCCGCACCCACCCTGCCGGATTGGGTCCTGGCGCTGTTGCGTACACCTCCGCAGACGCCACGCGCCGTGCCCCCGCCGCTCGCCTTCCGCGGCTCTCCCCCGCCTCCCCGGCCGCCGCCGGAGTTTGCCCCGCGCGCCCCGACGCCGCCCCTTGAGTACCTGGCCCCACTGCCCAGGCGCCCCACCACCCGCTCCTTCCCTGACTGACACAGGCACCCACACCTCGGGAGGGGGGTCCTCCGGGGGGAGGGGGACGGGCCTTCGGGGCCGCATCTGCCCCCCATGGGTCCCGGACGGCCTCTGACCCTGACCCCCCTCCCAGGCCGGGAAGCAGGTGGAGGAGACGGCGGTGGCGGCGGCGGTGGCCCCGAGGGGCCGCGTGGTGACCATGGCCGAGTCGGGCGCGGCCTCCCCGCCCCCTCCCACTCGGTTCCCCAAGGCGGCCGACCCAAGCTGGGATGGCCCGACGCCACCCTACCAGCCGCTTGTGCCCCAGACGGCGGCGCCGCACACCGGCTTCACCGAATACTTCAGCATGCACACGGCCGGGGGCACTGCACCCCCGGTCTGAGCACCCCTGCCTGCCCCTCCCCATGGGCTGTGCGCCGGGCCCCCGCCGGGCTCCGGACGCCCGCTCTATCCCGGCCCCAGGCCTGGGGCCATCCCAGGCCTTCCCGACCCTCCCCACCCCGCGCGCCCAGGTAGGGGTGCGCAGTGTCCCGCTCTCCCCCTACCTACCCCGACTCTTTGTGCCAAACGGTCCCGCGGGAGCCGCTCTCCCCGTCCCCTCCCTCAGCCCCTGCCCCGAGCAGCGCCGGATTCTGGGCTCCCGCTGTTCCGTGACCTCCGGCCCCCTGGCCCCCTCCGAGACCTCTGACCCCGCCGGACCCAGGAACATCAGAGACGATCGCCAGGACCCTGCCCGTGACGCTCCAGGATTCCGCGACCCCGAGCCACTGCCCCCGGGACGGATATTGTGAAGCTGGTCTCGACTCTGAAACCTTCCCTTGGATCTCTGTGACCTCGGACCCGTGCTCTGTTCACCCCATCTCTATTCCGAGGACCCTCCCTGAGGTCCCCGGCAGAAAGACTTTTTTCCCTTCTTGCCAAAATAAAGAGGATTCATTGAGTTTTTATCTATAAATGGCCTCTTTTACATCTTGATGGTGCTCAGAAACGCGGCTGAACAAGAACCGTTACAGGCTCGGGACATCTGTGAAACGGAATTTTGGGAAAGGCCTGCATAAGCTGACCTTTATGTTGACCCAGAATCTGGCAACACTGAAGATGGATTTATCTAGCCCTTACTGCTGCGCTCCTTAATTTTTACCTTCTCCTACCCAGTCAGAGGGAGAGGCGCCCTCTAGTGGCACATGCTTTCCTCCGCCACCCGCACCCCGACTTTGGGTTACAATTTTAGCATTGCGCATGTGCAACTCTCTCTGCGCAGACCAAGTTGGTCACTGCTGCGCATGCTTCTGGGAACAAATAGGCGGGGATGTTCCCGGAAGTCCCCGTTTGTGGAGGGATGGGGTTGGGTACTCCGTAGTCCTCCCAGGGCCGCTCTGACCTGCGGCTCCGCGACTTCTCGCCTCCTCTTGGTCCTCCCTCCCACAGCGGCCGCTCGGCCCCGCCCCCTCGCCCACCCAGCGGTCTTCCCAGGGCCGCTCTGGCCCGAGTGTCCCCTCGTCTCTTTGATCAGGCCTATCCGACTCCTGAGGGAGGCGCGGGTGGGTGAGCGAGGGAGTGAGTCTATGGGGTCCGGGCCCGAGCCCCTGAGGACGGGCTCCGCCTCCGGCCCCCGGTCGCGCCCTGCCCCCGGCTGGAGCCTCTCCTGGACCATCTGGGCCCGGCCCGGTTCGGCCCGTACCCTCTATGGAGGCCCCCGCCCGGCTATAGGGCTCTTCGCCCCCTGGAGACCTACCCATCTCTAAGGTCCGTTTCGGCCTGCATAGGTCCGCGTCTGTCATTGTTGGACACCATTTATGGAGTCAGCCTGCCTATGGGGGCTTGTGTCTATAAGGGACTCCCAAGGTCCCTAGGGGTCGGCCCCGTCCATAGCGACCCCATTTATAGGGCCTATCATGGGTCTATAGAGCCCACCGCTCGACTTCCAGAGCCCGTTAACAGCGGCAGTTCCCTTCGCGGGGTTTGCGACTCCTGGACATCCCTGGTCTACAAGGCCATGTTCCGTCCATAGAGGTCGCATTTGCAGGGCCTCACGCCGGTGGAGGGTCCGCCCGGGTCCGTGCCTTCTGTAAGGGTCAGTGCGGGAGGCGGCGATGGCCCTGGGCCGGGCTCTGGCCGCTGCACTGGCTCTATCTTTGGCGGTGCTGGAGCCGCTGTCCCCTGGGGCCTGGGCGGGGGACTGCAAGGGGCAGCGGCAAGTGTTGCGGGAGGCCCCAGGCTTCGTGACGGATGGTGCGGGCAACTACAGCGTCAATGGCAATTGCGAGTGGCTCATCGAGGGTGAGTGGGGCCGCGTGGGTCACACACCCACTCATTCGCTAATAATTCATTTGTGCACTCATTCATCCACTCACCACATTCCCAGAGCCTGGTTCTGGTCCAGGCCCTTTGCTCTAAAAAGCAGCCAACCTGGGCCCTGCCCTGGAAGGCCTTGAGATCTGGTGGAGGAGTTACACCCAGACCCAGATGGACAGTTACAAAGCGGGAGCGTCAGTGAGTAGTATTCTGAATAATTGATAGGAACTGGGGCTCTGAGCCCAACTATCTGGCTTTGAATTTGGGTTTCACTTCTTACTACAATAGCTTTGTGAATTTGTACAGGTGGCTTCCTTTCTCTGAGGTTCAGTGTCCCCTCCCCCCAGGTGGGGATAATAGTACCTACCACATAGGGTTGTTGAAATGAAATGAGAACAGGTATTTAACGCACCTGGTTCAGTACTTGGTATTAGGATTATTACTGTTGTTATTTTTAAAGTATTTCAATAACAGCTCCCCCATCATCCATGTGCCAGATATTGTATTTGCCACTGGGACATAGCAGAGACCAAGGCAGTCCTAGCAATCCCCAGTGACCTGGGGCTTGAAATCCAGTCGGGGAGACAAACACATTAATAGACAGTGATAGCCCAGCGTGGGTAGGACTGTGATGGAGGAACCCCACGGGCCTGGGGGAACCCAGAAGAGGTGCCTGACCTGGGAGTCGGAGAGAGGTCTTCCTGGAGGAGGACATATCTGAGTTGAGACCTAAAGGACCAGTAGGAATCAGCTAGGAGGAGGAGGGTTGCAGGGCAAGGGAACAGCCTGTGCAAAGGCCCCAGCCCTATCCTCATGGGCTCCCAGTCCAGTGGGGGAAACAAACCCACCCCCAGGGAGTGGGAAGCCCAGAGAAAATGTCTGATTTAGCCTGGTGATAGCTGAGACCAGAGGCATGTGTAGGAGGGAGCAAAGGGGCATTGTAGGCAAGGAGAACAGCCCGTGCAAAGGACTGGACGCGGGAGGGTGTGCTGCTTTTGAGGAACTAGAAATGCGGTGTGCTAGAACAAAGAATAGAAGAAAATAAGAGGCTCCAAAGGCTGGAGATTGGTGGGAGGCCGAGGGTGTAGGACCTTGTGATTTTGAGCTGGAAGGGCAGTAGGGAGGTGGAAGAGAACTCCAAAGGCAGTGGCTAGAGAAATCCAGGAAGGCCTCTCTTGACAGTGGATATAGGAGCTGACCTCCAAGGAGAGGTGGGGGTCCCCCAGAGGAGGTCCTGGGCAAAGGCCAGAGGCGTGACAGGGTCTGGATCATGCAGGGACTCCTTTTGCAGGCTGTGGAACTTGGTTTATATCCAGGGGCAATGGAGAGCCATGCAAGGATTTTGAACAGGGAAAGGACATGATCTGATTTATGTTTTATGTATTATTTATCTATGGCTGTTATGTGGGGGTATGAATGAAGCATGTTTTTTGGGAATGTGTGTTTGTCTCCAACTTGGGGGCCATTCCTGTCTGGGGGGGTGAGGACAGAATGGGAAGTTTGTGTATGTGTTGGGGGCATAAATCATCCTCCAGCTTTGAAGAGCCCCAGTGTGCTCAGGACTGAGATAGAAGGAGATGTAGGGTTGGGTAGATGGGCCTAGGGGAATGAGAAGACTCTTCTGGGGGACATAGAGGAGGAGGCACTGGAGTAGGGTTCTGAAGCATGCATAGGAGTTTACTGGGTGAGAAAAGGGAACAGCCTCTATGAAGACAAAAGAGAGGCTGGTGTGTCTCAGGAGCTATGTCTAGGTTTGGCTGGACTGTTGATGGGAGGTGAGGAGGGCGCCAGATGCAGAAGGTCTTGAATTTCATGCTGAGCAGCTTGGCTTTTTTCCTGGGGCTGAAGGGGAGCCACAGAAGGATTTTGAGCAGGAATGGGGCTTTGCTTTCAGGCTAGGCAGAGGGCTGACTGAGAACCTGGTGTGCTAATCTTGCAGGAGAGGATGAGTTCTGACTGGGGCAGGAACTAAGGAGGTGGAGAGACACAGAGAGCCCTAAGAGATGTTTATGGCATTTCACTAATGAGACTTGGGGACCAACTAGCTGGATGCTGGGGTAGGGAGGAGTCAGGGAGACTTTCAGACTCCCCTTGATCTCTCATCCTTTCCAATGCCTGTCACCCCATGCCTACCAACATGTTCCCCTATCTATTAAGAAACAAGCCACCGACCATGTTCACACTTTATTGTGCTCAGTCCTCATACATCCCGATGAATAAGAGGCATCTGCTTATGAAAAGCAGGGGATTTTGTGGTTGGATCTCTCTCTGTTCAGGAGAGCATGGGTGTTGGATCCATGTTGGGTGGAAACAGGAGACCTTGAACTTAGGGAGGAACTTGGGGAAGGCAGACGGTGAGCTGGCCTCCAGCAGGCACTTGACAAAAATGTACTTGTGTGAGCTTTATAGTTTGGTTGAGGCTGGTAAGACTCTGGGAGGTCTGGTTACCTAGCCTTACTGAATGGTTCTGCATTTCCCAGACCATGGCTCAGGGTCTGTTGTGATGTTCTCCAGGGCTCTGGTCAGAGCTGAGGGAGAGCTGCTAACGTCAATATTCTGTCTTTTGTGCATTTCCTCATTCCTTCATCCAGCATTCCTCAGCCCTTGTCCAGCAGCAGGCCCTGTGCTGGGCAATGTTGGGGAGGGTCCCCAAAATGAGTTAGGCCCAGGCCCTGCCCTGTGGGCCTCCTCTGCTGCAGGGTGACAGACCTGGACACAGATGGTTCTGGCCCAGAAAAATGAAGATTATAATGGAAAGTGATAGCCTTGAAGAAGGGCACCTAACTCAACTGGGGGGCATCAGGGAAGGCTTCTTGGAGGAGATGGGGAAATTTGCTGGTGGGAAGAGAGACTGTGCTTCAGACAGAGGGAGAAGCTTGTGCAAAGGCCCAGTTTCTGACAGACCTGCAAGGAACAGGGTGATGTGAGACAAGATGAGATTTCAAATGCCAGGTAAAGAGCTGGATTTTCTCCTGGGGATGGTGGGAGCCATGGAAGGCTTTTGAGCAGTGGAGGGCCAGGGCCAGATGTTGAGCTGGAAAGATCTCTTGAGGACCCATATCAGGGCAAGACGGGAAGCCAGGAGGCCAGGAAGGAGGCTGGATCAGTGGTCCTGGCGAAAAAGGATGAAATCTGGGCTGGCACATTAGAGCCGCCATCTCAAATCTTCACACTAGTCTTGGTGGGTGGGGAGAATTATCCCCATTTTATATCAAGGATACTGAGGCTCAGAGAGCTCATGGCACTGGTCCAAGATCACACAGCTAGTGAGTTGTGGATGAGTATACACACGAGTCTAGTGAGGGGCTTGGGGAAAGAGACTGGCCCAAGGTTCTCCAGTAGGTCAGGAGCAGAGCTCGGACCCAGATCTCCTAGTTTCCCTAGCCCAGAAGACTCCCCTGAGCCCCTAGTGTGAGATGTGGGATGAGAGAACCTTCTGGAATCAGAAGTTTCTGTCAGAGAGCAAGAATCATGACAGTGTTAGGAGTAGAGGCACTTAGGAAGTGCTATGTACCATTAAACGCTTTACATGCATTATTGCCTTTCACGCAGGCGCAGTCAGGTATCAGCTGGGGCTGTAGTCTCTGAACACTCAACTTGGGCCAGATGTTCAAGACGGCTCCCTCTCAGGGCTGGCAGTTGATGCTGGCTGTCAGCTGAAAGCTCAGCTGGGCTGTCAGCTGGGATGCCTACATGTCACCCCTCCATGTGACTTTGGCTTTTCATAGCATGACAACTGTGTTCTGAGAAGGAGCATTCTATGAGGCCCAGGTAAAAGCTTCCAGGCTTCCTGTGACCTAGCCTCGGAAGTCCCAGAATGCCACTTCTGCTGCTTGGTATTGGTCAAGCTAGTCTCTGAGGCTCTTCCCAGATACAAGGGCAGGGCATCGGCCCTCACCATTTTTTTTTTTT